AGAAAAATCAAATCTCTCTTGATGCTCAAAGAAAGGGATTTGTTTTATGTACTAACTATAGCAGAATATTTTACTTATTTGGAATTATCTTTTGTTTCACAGTTTTTCCAGCACCCGTAACTGGAAAGCATTAGTCACTCACACTCACCAAAGGCAAAGATAACTTACCTGGATGTAGCTGCCTACTCTTGTTCAAGATATGTTTCCTAAAAAAACATTTTTCTTCAATCACTGGGAGAGAGAGTAGCAAGACCACTCGTGGTATGTGAAAAGTGACTTTTAATTTTTAATCTAATACCCTATTGTTCTAATTCCTTAATAGCAATGTGCTCACACTTCTCTTGAATAATCCATGAGTATGTTTTTTTACATGTCCTTTCTGTTCTTTACTTACTGGCTTTGATACCCATAAAACATTTGCCACATTTCTACAATCTGTTCTCTCTTCAGTTGTCATTTCCAATTACACGACTCCATGGGAGACATAATGAAGGGATTAAAATTTATATTTAAAAAGATCTCCTTTTTTATTAAAAATTTTTGATGTTTATTTATGTTTGAGACCGGGGGGTGGTGGGGGGGAGGGACAGAGAGAGAAGGAGACACAGAATCCAAAGCAGGCTCCAGGTTCTGAGCTGTTAGCACAGAGCCTGATGTGGGGCTCAAACCCATGAACCATGAGATCGTGACCTGAGCCAAAGTTTGCTGCTCAACTGACTGAGCCACCCAGGCTCCCCCAGTATATTTGAAAAGATCTCTTATTCTTTGTGCTTTGTCATACCTTGATTTCAGAATCCAGCTGCCAGCTTCAGGTCTTCTTGAGATTGGGACAAGGCTCTAATTACACCAAGAAATGTGCATGTCTGCATCACAGAAAATCTCAACTAAGGTAAATCCACAAACCTAGGAGTGTTTTTATATTTTTATCCGAGGACACTTACTTTTTGAGTGAGAATAGAAACAATTCACATCTCATCACTTGTGTTGAGAGTGTTGGCAGAAATTGGATGTAAATGGCGCCGAATCTCTGATTAATTGCTGGGATGTTTCAGTATCTCCGTGGACTGCGGTCCGTGGCAGCTGACCCCGCCCTCCTGGTTCTTATATTGTCACCATGCTCATGCCACTGGAACTCCAAAGCTCAGTTTCCTCATCTGCGTGGGGATAACATCCACAGAGTCTATCTCATAGGATCGCTTGAAGCTTGGATGAGATAATGACTTTGAAAACATTTTTGTAAGTTGGACAACGTTGGCTTTTTCTAGGCTGTTGTCTGGTGAGCGGGGTAGGATGTTAGATTGCTCAAGAAATACTCCAGTGGGAATCCTGACCCACAGCACTACGCGGCTTCTTGTCCAACACTTCTCTTGAACCCATGGTTCAGAATACATAAGCGAATGGAGTATTACTGGAAAGAGCAATGGCCTGGAAGTGTGGGAGTCTAGGTCCGGTGCCCAGCCAGGCGCTGCACTGAGCTGTATGAATGTGGGCAAATCACATACCCTCTTTAGTTTCTTTATCTGTAAGGTGAGATGTTTGGACAAAAAAGACTTCGTATATTCCACAAATATGAAAAATCGTGGTTTCAGACTTCTAAGATATTCAGGATTTGCTGAAATGTACACAGTGCAAACTCATGGCCCCATCTTCTTCACTGAGGTGTCCTCTGGTGGCTGGACATAATAGTAGGTGCTCATACATGTTGAATTTAATGACAGTTCAATCATAGTAGTGACTGATTCATAGGGGTAATTTTATATTTATTTTAATGCAATTCTATTTCTTTCAACAAAGATGAATGGCTAAATATGTAACGCCATGTAGTTAATAAGAAATACTTTTCTGGGGCACCTGACTGGCTCAGTCAGTTAAGCATCTGACTCATGATCATGTCATGATCTAAGGTCATGATCTCACAGCTTGTGAGAGCCCTGCATCTGGCTCTGGGCTGACAGCTCAGAGCGTAGAGCCTGCTTCTGATCCTTTGTCTCCCTCTCTCCCTCCCCCTCCCTTACTTCTGCTCACATGTGCGTGCTCTCTCTCTCTCTCAGAAAAAAATAATACTTTTCTAAGACATTAAATGAATCCACAAATCCCAAAAATGACTCCAATTTTGGCTTGAAAAAAAAAGGTATCATGTCTTGAAAGGGATATAATATTTAGACTCAGGAGTTTCTGGAACTTAGTTCCATTGCCTTGTCTATGTGCTTTCTTCGAGTACTAAATGCTGAGATCTAAAACAGCAGACTTAACTTCTATGCCTCCCCTCTCCCACCTCCAGTCCCTCATCCGGGCCTCCTTTGGCCTTCCAGGATGTTCAGTAACAGGTGCCAAGTTCTTTCTGGGCACTGAGTCTTTGCGCTTAGCATACCTGTGACCCAGAATCACCTCCCCTCTTTCCTCTGTCACCTGAGGAAAACTTTTCCAGAAAATGGTTCCTGACCCCTCAGACTGGATTAGATGCATTTCTCTAATGCAACCTGTCTGTATCATGTCACTGATGACGCTAGATTGTCATTTGGCTGTTAAAGTGAAGGGGAGAAGTCACAGACACAGGAGCCATGCTGGTGGGGCTCCCAGCTCAGTAGCAGGGTGAGATGGTGGGGATGCCTCCTACAACCTGCCTCCTAGGGTTGTCCAGATAATTAAATGATCGACAGATTTCTATATGGAAGAACAAGGCTTGGCACACACAGTCATGTAACGTTTGCAGATCCTGGTGTTAAATATTATCATCTGTTTGGTCAGCCCATAACTGAGCCCATAAACTCCTTCAGAGTAGGAACCATATTTTATTTACTGCGGTATCCTAGCACTATTAATGCTCCGTCAATATTTGTTGAATAAATGGATTTTTCTTTTCTGTTTCATTAAAGCCATACTGGGGGACCCTCATGGTTGATTGGAGATGTTAAACCCGGTAATGAAGCCACAGGGACCCAAGAGAAAAGATGATGTGTGTGTGTGTGGGGGTACTAGTCAAGTGGACTAAAGGTTCAATGCAATCGTATTCAGAAGAGGGAAAAGTTTTCATAACACTGTCATAAAAGCTGTGACTAGTGGTAAATTACAGGAAAATGGATGGTAACGGAAGTGATCTTTGATGTTGAGTGTAGACATGAAGGAAATTCAACTTCTTCCTTCAACCTGGGAAGACTGAGCCATTTTCTCTTTTCAATTTGTCTATCCTTCTAGATGCTCTCTTCTATCCAATCTGTCTCATTCCCCCGGTGGTGCATCCCCTGTCTACACTCTTTCACAGAGCCCACACTGTCATTCAGGACCCGGGCCTGCAACTCATTCTCTGGCCTCTGTCCCTCTGTGGGACCCTCCTGCCCCCACCCCTCCTCCCCGCCACAGGGGCACCTAGGTCTTTGTCCTCACCTTAAGTGCCCCATTTCTCACGTAGAAAACCTACTTCTCTTCTCTAAAACTGAGTTCTGGTGTCACCCCCTGGGGAAGCAAACTCTGACAAGCTCAGTTCCTTCTGTGCCCTGATTGCTTGCTGTGTAAGCCCAGTCACAGAGTTATTCTACCAGATCGCCATCCATACCTGCGGCTGTCATTGTGCGTGCCCAGTACCATGTTCTGGGCATGAAGGGTGCAGGCATACGCTAACACAGGAGTGAATGCACGCAGGGGTGGCGGGCTGCTGGGTGGGAGCTCCGGGCTCTTCCCTTCACACTCCCACGCTGAATGTTTCTATTCCTCCAGCCTCGTGGCTTAAATTCAGCCTCCGAGGTTTACTTCTGAATAGCCTAGGGCTAGTGTAGCCTCCCAGTGCCTCCTTATTTGTGAAATGGAAATTATTTGTGAATATTAAATAGATGGTTTTGGTTTATAAATTATTCCATGTAGATGATTATATCATCTGAAAATAACACTTTTGCTTCTTTTTTAATGCTTATACCTTTGATTTTCTTGTCATGTTGGTCTGGCATAGGTTTCCAGCATCATGTTCAAGAGTAGCAGTGATATTTGGCATCCTTACCCTGCCTCTTAAAATGTTTTTAAAATGTATGTTTATTTTTGAGAGAGAGACAGAGCGCCAGTGAGGTAGGGACAGAGAGAGAGGGAGACACAGAATCTGAAGCAGGCTCCAGGCTCTGAGCTGTCAGCACAGAGCCCAACGCAGGGCTCGAACTCACAGACTGTGAGATCATGACCTGAGCTGAAGTTGGACGCTTAACTGACTGAGCCACCCAGGCGCCCCATATCCTGCTTCTAATCTTAAGGAGGGCCATACAAAATTTCTCCATTAAATCAGATACAGATTTGTCTTAAAAACTTAGTGAACTAAATATCTTCCTAGTTTTTGGAGTACAGAAGTGACTGAAATCTATACCTTGGCCTGTATTATTAACCTAATTTTTCCCATGACTCACAATTTATTTTCCTTCTCTCCCCACCCTTGAGGGAAAAGAGGCTCCAGGCTATTTGGAAGCCAGCAAGGAAACAAAGTCTTGGGCTCACGCTAAGGGAAACACTTGTAGGAGGCAGACTATTTTAGAGCTAGCCCTCAGCCAAGTTGACCCCAGCAAAAGCATCCCCCTTTTCCTCCTTCTACTTCCTTTGATTGGATGGAAAACACTCTCACTTTTCCCATCCCCAAATTCTCCTCCTGGAAATAAGACAGTCTTCAACATTTGAGTCCTTTATACATTGATGAAATATTCATTTTTACACATTATACTTTAATAGAAAGTTTACTTAAAAAATATCGAAGAGAAGTTACCCACAAGTGAACATTAAATGCTCCTTGCAGGGGCGCCTGGGTGGCTTAGTCGGTTAAGCATCCGGCTTTCGCTTGGGTCATGATCTCGCGGCTCGTGGGTTCGAGCCCCGCGTTGGGCTCTGTGCTGACTGCCAGCTCAGAGCCTGGAGCCTGTTTCAGTCTGTGACTCCCTCTCTCTCTGATCCTCTCCTGCTCACACTGTCTCTCTCTCTCTCTCCTAGAAATAAAAAATAAAAAAAATAAAAAAATAAATGCTCCTTGCAGATGCTTAAAAAATATTTCTTTATTCGATGTGTTCACCAAGTACCTTTTGAGCTCCCGCTGTAAGAGCTGTAAGAGCTGAGCACTGTGGGAGACTCTTGGGACAAAACTGTGAATCAGACAGACACAGACTTTGTACTCACAGAGTTTCTACTCTAGCTGCAGGAGAGAAACAAAAGACAGGAGACCAAAGTTTATATTAAAGTGTTTCAGACACGAAGGAAAACACAGGCCTGAGGGAAAGTAGCGGAGTCTCCTGTAGGCAGAATGTTCTGAAAAGGTCTTTACAAGGAGGTGGCAGTTAGGTTTAGTGTGGGGAGTATCTAGCCACAAAGAGATTGGGGCTGAAGGTGGAAATCGGGCTCTGGGAAGAGAAGGGAGGAGGGCCCTGGTGAGAGAATACAAGGTTTCCAACTTAACACAAGAAGCGAAAGGCCACCAGAAAATGAAACAAAAAAGTAAGAACAAAAAACTAAGTTGTATGTTACCTATTAATAAACAAACCAGGTTCCACAATAAATGTAAGAGTTGAAAAAAAAAAAAAAAATATATATATATATATATATATATCAGTTAACTTATTTTTCAGCAAAAGCACCGATACAAAGATGAGAACATGGCTGATCTCTCCCAAGTCAGCCATTGACTGATCCTTGCGTTCCGTGTCATTTCAACCCTAGAAGACGGTTAGTTTCCCACCCACGGTCCTAACCAGCCCGGATGATGGAATTAGCAGGGGCAACTACAGGCGCCTCCTGAGAAAAGAACATTCCACTGACGTGCGGTCCAGGTGCGTCCAACCTTGTCTTCTGCTCACCTCCCTCTTTCTCGAAAAACATGACGAGCCACGCCACAAAGCACTTGAAATCTCCGCGTTTAGTTACAACTCTATCTGTGGAAGAGGTGGGCATCCAATTCAATCAGATTAAACACAGGGATAGTTGGGGGCATTGAGTCGTTCATATGACTGACAGGTGGGATAGGTTAGGAATGGCTGGGTTTAAGACTTCAGGTAAGCTTCTTTTTCTTTCTCTGTCTTTCCCTCCTCTCCGCTCTTTTCTCTATGTTGAGGCCACATTCAGGTTATGGTTTCCAACCTCTAGCAGCTTCAGATTTATGTGGCCTTTTCAATTAGTGGCTCCAACGGAGCAAGAGGGTTTTCTTTCACCTTAGCTTCTGGATCTGCCCATTCTGAACCCATCCCTGGTCTGTGGGATGTGGGAGCACCACCGGGCTGCTGGGTTACAGACCTGCCTCAGGAGCAGCAAGACAAAGAGGTAGAGGTGGGGAAGGTGAAAGACTTTTCCAGACAAGACTAAAGTTGTGGGAGGGACAGTTTCTCAAAAGGCAAATGAGGGCACTGTTATAAGCGGAAATGCAAGGGGCGCCTGGGTGGCTTAGTCGGTTAAGCGTCCGACTTTCGCTTAGGTCATGATCTCGCGGTTCGTGGGTTCGTGCCCCGCTTCGGTCTCTGTGCTGACTGCCAGCTCAGAGCCTGGAGCCTGTTTCAGTCTGTGACTCCCTCTCTCTCTGACCCTCCCCTGCTCACACTGTCTCTCTCTCTCTCCTAGAAATAAATAAAACATTAAAAAAAAAAATAAGCGGAAATGCAAGCTGAGACATCAAAAAATAATAGCCACGCACCATAGGCCATCTCTTGGCTCCCCTCCTTCTATACACATGATATTTAAAATCTCCTCACTTGGAGCGCCTGGGTGGCTCAGTTGGTTACGCGTTCAACTTCAGCTCAGGTCATGATCTTGCGGTTTGTGAGTTTGAGCTCTGCGTCAAGCTTGGAGCCTGGAGCCTGCTTCAGATTCTGTGTCTCCGCCTCTCTCTGCCACTCCCATGCTCATGCTCTGTCTCTGTCTCTCAATAATAAGTAAATGTTAAAAAAATTAAAATGTCCCAACTTAATAGCATGTAATGATTATGGACACACATGAAAATGTACTCACCCACACCCCAGAGGGAGAAGACTTAACTTCAGGTCTAGCTCCTGGTTCCTGACCTTTAAGTGATTTCTATTCTCTCACAGCTCACGGCGAAACTACAAATTTGATGATTCCCCACACAGTCACTGTAAAGTGGCAGGGGGAAAAATAGGGTAACTCCCACCTGAAAGCAAAGGCAAGGGGAAATAATAAGCAGGGAGATTGTCCTACAGGATGCATTTAGTTCTGCGAATTAGAAAATTGCAAGAATTACCTGCCATGAAAGGAATGGAATTCTTGGAGCAATGTAGCTATCGCCACGTTACCTCTTGAGAAAGATTCTTATTATTTGCATCCATGACCACAACCATGATGAGAATTGGGGAGGGTTTCCCTTTTCAGGACTCAATTGCTTTGGCCACGCACTTGCTGGGGTAGCTCAGCAATATGGAGTTCGTCTACACTGTAGACCCTGGGCTGGAGCTGTCTGTCTTTTAAGAGAAATCCTGGGGCGCCTGGGTGGCTTAGTCGGTTAAGCGTCCAACTTTCGTTTAGGTCATGATCTCGCGGTTCGTGGGTTCGAGCCCCGCATCGGGCTCTGTGCTGACTGCCAGCTCAGAGCCTGGAGCCTGTTTCAGAGTCTGTGTCTCCCTCTCTCTCTGACGCTCCCCTGCTCACGCTGTCTCTCTCTCTCTCCTAGAAACGAATTAAAAAAAAAAAATCTTTAGGGTTAGATTCACTTTCCAGTTTTCAGTTTAATGGCTGCCATCTTGACCTCTGCCTAGGGGCAATTGGAAACAATGATCTGGGACTGAAGAGCACTGACAGGTTGGCCTCTTGATGCAAGGCTGTATCCTAGTGGCGAGCTCTTTTAATCAGGGTGACCTGCTTTAGAGCTGTCACTCAGGTGTAATTATTAATAGCACCCCTCACCACATTCCAAATTGTCCCATTTTGGATAATAAATTATACGGTCACCCTACTTAAAATGAGGTTAAGCCTTCCCTTCCTCAGGCAGGGAGGGCACAGCAAGAAGAGTTTGATGCAGACCCCGGACAGTCTTTTTTCCATGATCAGTTTTTACCCTCCTGCCTTTGCCAAAGGGCAGAGAATTTCATGTTTCCAACCTGGCATGGCTCAGTGTATCAGACTCTTGACCATTTGGGTTTGCAGGCTAGAATGAGAAAGAGCGTCTCTAATTTCTTCCTCCCTACTTCATAGAGGTCAGTTTCAACACTAGCATGTCTCGTTCTTTAGAATCTTTATAAACACTGCAAGCAGTCCAAACCTTCTAAAATGCGAACATTTGTCAATCAAGACCTCTACAAGTCCAACCTTGAAATGCTGAGGCCTGGAGACCTTTTCATTTCGTGTTTTGGCTACCGTATCATCAGGATTTCCAATCCCCTAGCCTGGTACACAGAGGTCCTTTCACATCTCACCCTTCCTCAATGTAGCCAGTGCACATTTAATGATCTGCACTGCCACACCCCACACTCAGTGGTATAGAACTCTCTTGGCTACAAGAGATAGAACTTAACTCAAAATAGCTTAAGCCCAAAAGAGAATGTTTTGGCTCTTCTAACAAAAAAATCTAGGGTTATCTTGGCTTCAGGCATGATCAAACAATATCATAAGGATTTGCTTATGCATGTGTTCTCTCTGTCTCTGTCTCTCTGACACACACACACACACGCACACACACACACACCTCTTTCTCAGCTCTACTTCCTCTAATAGCTTATTCTCTGTATAGCAATGGAGCAGATTACTTGGTAGGTGTTGATTACGTACCCATCACTGGAGTGGAGGTGGAGATGGGCTCTACTCCTCTCTAAACCATAAGGATTCAGGCAGAAAGGAGATTATTTCCCCAAAGGTGCTGTTGCCAAAAAAAGGTGGGGGGGAATGGATGCTTGTGAGGCTAAGAAAACAAGAGGTGTCCACCATATACTTGAAAGCTTAAAACATGTAGGCAAATGTCTCCAGGTTCAATTCCCCTTTTGAAAGGCAAGGATGAGAATAGTTAACTAATCTATCTTAAAGTGAAGGGGGAAAAAGGCAAGGGTAAAATATTTGCTTAATTAAAAAATTAAGTCCACACTGTTAAAAGTTTAGACTTTTCTGAAGTCACTGTGTGCCTTTAGAACTGCTGTGAAGTTTGAAAACTTGACAGCCAGCCCACCACAGCGGGGGGGACCTGGTTTCCCTCCCCTCACTCCCTGTTACCTCCCTAGAGGACCAGGAGGGGGAGCGGAGGATGCATGACCAGGGAGAAAGGAATGTCATTATGGCCTCTTCTCAGACTTTGCGGATCTTAGCTGGGAATGTGCAATTTATCCATTTCAATCTAGGCAATGATATGTAACAGGAATTGGCTAATTCAACAAGTATTTGTTGAATGCCTGATCTCTTATCCTTTCTCCCTCCTCTGTCTTCACCCTCTGCCTCTCCCCTAGACCTTTCCCATCAGCATTTAACCACCCCCAGGGAGCTCTCATCTTAAAAACCAAACAAAAAGCCCACAAACAGAAACTGCCTTCCCCTTAGACCCTACTTCCTTCTCAGCTACCACTCCTTCACAACCAAATTTCACACGCTAAGAGTCCCTACGTACTGTCTGCATTTCCTGGTCTCTCTTGTTCCCTCCTCTGGCCACTGCCTGATCTTGCTGGAACAAAAGAGTTTATGGAAAGAGCACCAATCTCTGAGAACAAAACCTCGGTGTTAGGGCTGTGTTATAGCACTAAAATACTATATGGTAATTGTGGGATGTCAACTGGAGTATGAACTTCTGGAGAGTTAAGACAGAGTTTGTTCTTAGTAAATATCTTATGGCTGAATGTTAACATACTATCTACTGTAGGTATGGTGACTAGCATGTAGTAAGTGTTACATAGATCTCTTTTGAAGTAATTAATTAACCTGGGTTGGCAACAAAAGACAGGGGCAGGCTTGATATGGGATGGAGAGGAGTGAGATTTAAGGTATCTTGAGCTAACTTAGAAATGTAGGGGGAGGGGCCCCTGGGTGGCTCAGACTGAGCCTTCGGCTCAGGTCATGATCTTACAGTCTGTGAGTTCGAGCCCCGCATCTTCAGCTCAGGTCATGATCTCACAGTCTGTGAGTTCGAACCCCACGACAGGCTCTGGGTTGACAGCTCAGAGCCTGGAGCCTGCTTTGGATTCTGTCTTCCTCTCTCTCTTCCCCTCCCCCACTCATGCTGTTTCTCTCTCAAAAATGAATAAATGTTAAACAAAAAAAGAAATGTAGGAGAATGAGGAGACTATGCTATATTAGAAGAAAGGCAGAAAATAGCTTCACTGAGGGCGTAGCAGGCAATGTTAAATGCTACAGGCAAGGGTTTCATCTTTTCAAACTGAACACTAAGATGGGTAGCTGGATTTGCCAAATGATGATCAATTATCTTTTTTTCCCCCTTGGCGGTAGTGAAGGGGGCAATTTTAAGAGAATGTTACCAGATTGCAAACCTATAGGAAGCTGTAATTTGTAGGGCCTGGCAAATGCCAGGCTCACAGTGACATATGTACCTCAGGGAGGTAGGTGACCCTATATGCACACTTCTCACCAATTCTACACCTTAAATGGCTTCAGCCCATGTTCTCCCTGTGGTCAAGTACTCGGAGAGAAAGAGAACTACAGCAGAAAAGAAAAGCGAATGCACTTTTCTTAAATGTACACTGAGTCCCCCGTGCCATTGTTCTAATTCACGTGCACATGAAATGTGAAAGGCCAAGTGGATACACAGGGCAATTATGACCTTCTGATTACCTTTCAAACACACTTCAGAGCGTGCTAGAACTCTTCCTTTCCTAGCTCGGTTTATCGCATGCTTCTCAGTCTCCTGAAGGGAGAATGCAACACTCCATCATTTAGTCTCCAAGTGGCCCTTCCTTGATTTCTCCCACAAGGGTCCCGGCTACACAGTTCCAGAACTAGGCGAGACTTTGTGGAGGATGCTGTAGACTCTGGACAGGCTGCAAGTGGAGTTCTCCGTCCCTAAGCCCCCTCTACAGAAGCCACACAGTGGCCATTGTGTCTGTTTGTAGGACCCAGGAAACTGAATCCTAAAGGTGAACGAGTAGACATTCCAGCACGCTCCTAATTCAGCAGCGGCACACGGGGTTTTTACGTGTCTTGGAGCTACTTCACATAATTTGTGTTCAATCGCTTAACTTAATTACTTTCTTTGAAAAGACGCCTGGGACCACGCCAGCATTGGAGGGAACAAGTCACCAGGTCGGGATCTGGAAACAATCAGCTCTTATGGTCTGAGGGATGCAGCGCCAAGATCTTAAGGAACCTGCATTCCTGGTGAGCAGTCAAGTTCTTTAATCCACTCCCAGCAGGATTCCGGCGGTTAAAAAAAGACCAGGAAAAAGAAAAAGAAAACGAAAACCTATTGGAAAGACAAGTCAACTCAAAGCGAACCCACCCGAAACTTCCTCCTTTCCGAAGAAAAGGCCGCTCCCACCGCAGGGTCCTCCCGCATATACCGCGGGGGCTCGGCTGCAGTCCCCCGGATCCGCGATCGCCGCCTCCGCCGCGGGCGCGGTCTGGGACGCGTGGACAGGCGCCCCGCCGGGTCGCACGGGGCGGGGCGCGGGGTGCAGAGCAAGACGGCCCCGCGGCTCCCGGCCCCCAAGCGCTGCGGGAAGGGGCGAGCGCCGCTGCCCGCGTGCCGGGTCCCCGTCCGGCCGCGGTGGCAGGAAGTCTCCGGGAACTACAAATCGAGGCATGCTGGGAACATTCCCCTGCTCCTCCCAGGAAATGTCCTTTGTCCAGCCCCACAGGAAACCCCAGCGAGGA